CCAATCACTTCTAAAGTCTCAAAGGGTATGGAAAGAGCTTACTTGTCTTTCCTGCGATGCTCTCGTCTATGGTAGGAGCTGTCTCAGGGTGGAAAATACCTCGGTAAGTACGCCTCTTTGATATTTTTATGCAGTTACTAGTAGTTCCTTATTCCCTGTTGTAGATAGCCTCAGGTTTCTCGACGTTCAGAAAGATTTCGCGCCGACGAGATGGTAGAAACTTGACTGGTACAACCCTTATGCAGGTAGCAAGGATAAGAAAAGAAGGGCGGTTACGGAAACCCTAAACTTTGATAATATGGAGTTATATTCAAGCTCAAAGGAAGGAGGCCTAATATAATAAAGGCAGGTGAGTAAAATTCATACCTAAAGCGTACTGTTGGCATTAAGCGGGGCACTTACCACTGATGTAATGGGGCCTCAAAGTGTAAACTGATATAGTCAAAAGAAAATCCACAATTTGAGATAAATAGATCCCTAGGTCTACTAATAATTACTTTTGACAATGATCGATTTCCTTATACTTATAAAAATCCGGAAAACCGATACGTGCAACTCACGAGAACCAAGATCTAAGGACAGTTTTTTCTTCAATTCAAACCAGAAAAAAAAACGGAAACCGTTAGGCAAAATGGAGGCGATTTCCACCAAGGAAGTTCTTCTTCTTCTTCTTGCCTAAATATGTTATGGACTGACAGCCTAGGTCTCAATCTTCAGGGTCGCCGAAACCTTAAGCCATTTAGGACCACATCCTAACCGAGAAGAATATTCGACAGCCGTCATATTTTGTTTGCTAACCTAGCTTAACTATGTTGTTGTGATCGACTAATAATATATTTAATTTAATTCAGGACATTAAAACGAAAAGATCTAGAAACGAAGGAGATTTAGGAACAAAGAAGATTTAGAACCGAAGGAGATTTAGGAGTACTTTTTCCTATGGAGACAATATTCCTTTGTTCAATGTTACCTTACTTATAAATAAATGTTTTATCAAGTGGGAAGAGTGTATTTACCTTAGAAAATGCAAGAAAACCACCAAAAGGGCGGAACATTTGGTGATTGTAACAACATAAAAATCATTAAAATTTATTTTTTATTGTTACGTTTAATTAAATGTTTAGGGTGGGAGCGTGAAAAAATCGCCATAAAATAGTACCTATAGACTTTCACATTAAAGTGAATCGCGTTGTAAAATTGGCATCTTAGTTAAAAGATGAGGTAATATATTTTGTTTACAACCATATATGTAATGCTGTCATTACTAACGTCATTGACGGTTGGGAAGTGCCACATTACACACCTCTACTTCCCGCCCTCATTTCCCGCCCTCATTTCCCGCCCTCATTTCATCTATTCTAGATGAATATTGTTTATATTTAAAAAAAATAAAACATTTTTTGACAAATTTTATAATACCTATTTAATGGCAAACAATAAAAAACAACAATGAACTAAAATACAACAAACTACTTATTGATATTTATTATTCGCGAATTTAATATCCGACGTTATCTGACATTTATTTAAATTGGTGACAATTGTTTAACCCGTAATCACGGTAACAATATATTTACTTGATTATTCTGAGAAAACCGCGCGCTTGGTAATTTGTCGTTAAATGTAATATTTTAATCGAATTAAATTACCGGTTTTGAGCTTACATTAAATTGTAATTAGATGAAATAAAATGGATTCTATGTATTTTAAGGTGATCTTTTCGAAAAAAGGCAAAACAAAATGTAGCAGTTTTTCGAAAGTGCCGACATTTTGGATTTTGTCAATTTTTCAATTTTGCGCATGCGCACGTCGCAAATAAATCATTATTTTTAAAACGCAGTTTACAACAATTGAAAGCTTAGAAAAAATGCTAATTTTTATATCTTTTGAGAAATTTTGATCAAATGCACCGTTCTCGCGGTATGGACGATTGAAATTTGTTTAGTATTTTGAGGCGGCGAAGGTCGAAAAATTTAATTTGTTAAATGTTCAAACACTAAATTCTTCATAACTTTGGTAAAAATTAAGATATTTAAAGAAACAAAATTTTTTTTTGAATTTAAGGGATGTGACTATTGATTCCCAGAAGGGGGCAAGATAAATCCCAAAATTGGGCATATGGCGGAAGGGCAAAGTGTACCGCAAGCCTAATTTCATTGTTTGCGTATAACGGCCAAACTATTTAAATTTATTTAATGCCACTTACAGAGCTTACTTTTAAATATAAAATCTTATAAGTGTGTGAATTTTACCAAAATCGGATTATAATTGGCCAAGATATCAAACAATTTATCAAATTTTTTTTCCTAAAAAAAAACTAAATTTTTTTTCGAAAGTTTGAAGTGGCACAAAAATGCCAAAAATGCACCCAATGACTCAAAACTTTTTTTTTGAATACTATATTATATTTAAAATACGATTACTTTACGGAAAATTCTGCAAAAATATTTTATCTATTTTTTTGACCACTGTTCAATGAGTGACGACCAAAAAACACGGTTTTTGAGAAAAGTTGCCTAAAATTGACGATTTTCAGTTTTTTGGTCTGAAAATTGAGCAAACCCAAATCTCATGTCTTCTCAATGTGTATACAAGGTTTAAAGTGTGTATGTTTCTTCTAAGTTGTAGAATTCTCTCGACAAAAGTCCCATTATACGCGCTCCGCGAGATCCAAAACTCGTGCATTTCTGTAAATTGATTTTTTTGTGATTTCCCGTTTTAAATTTCTTACATACCCAAATTTATTAGGCCTAAAATTTATTAAATTGTATTTTACTGACTTGTTATAAGACGTTTCTTGAGTTTTGTGCAAAAAATAGAATTACCGCAAAATTAGCCGGACGTCGTACCAAGGATAGTCATGGTCTCAACGTTCGCTATCCGACAAGTTTAAACTTGAAACGGTCATATTATTACAAATTGAATCGCTTGATAGTGTATATCGGCATAGATTTTTAATAACCGTGTTTAGCAAGCTCTGTGTACACGTGGTTTTTCGGACTTCTTCAGCAATTTATTAAGTACTTTCTTAAATTAAGAAAATTCTATCACAGTGCTATAATTTTTTTGTTTCCAGGTTGCAATGGCTGGACTGAGTTTATTATGTCACCAGAAACTTGCAGAGGGTGAACTTACCCCAATTAGACCGATAGGATTGAAAGGTCTGCAGATGGTCAGCAAAGAGAGAGGGGATGATTTTTTCAGTTCTTAAAAACCAGGTTTTATATTGTATGAAAGGTGTCGAAAAGATAACGTAGTTCGACGTTACGGAAAAGAGTTTATTTATAAAACCTGGGATAGGCATAAAAGGGCCGCGATTGACAATGCCAAAAAAAAATGAGGATGGAGCATCAACCGAGAAGAAAACCAGATGTTAGAGAACAAAAAACAAGCTTATCACCAAGTTGGAACTTACACTCAAGCTTAGGATTAATTTCCTAACATTTTTAAAGTATACCTTCTTGTATATTTTTTTGTGCTCTTTCCGATGGCGCAGATAGTTTCTTCAAATATATTTTTTGTTACATGTTTTCGGAAAACCCGGAGAAAATCATATGGGGAAAAATAAAAAAAAATTACGCCTTCCGGTTTCCTGCGAATTCCCGAAAAATTATGGCAGATTTCGCCGCGGTACTTATTTTATTTGAGAGCCCACAAAAAAATACGCAACTTCTCTCATGGGCACATATGTCTAATATTTATAATTTCGCCACAAATTCATCGCAAATTTCATGTTCATGATTCTGATCAAAGAAACGAAAAAACAACTTTTTGGTAAAAGCACTTCTTGTGGCGAGATATTCGCCATTAAAACTACCTATGCAATGAAATTCCGAATTATTTTTGCCTCCTCTTTCGATTGGTGCATTTAAGTTTACTATCAGAATGATACTTGCCCAGATAATTAGCATTTTTACCATGGAAAATTCCGGAAAACCCGGTTTTTCCTAATTTAAAAAAAAATTGAAAAACTGCTACATCATTTTTTTCTTTTTTTCGGAAAGATCACATCAAAATACACAAGGTCCACTTTGTTTTATCCAATTACAAATTAATGTAAGCTCGAAGGGGCTTTTTTCGTTATTTAATTGGACTATTTTAGGTATGTTCAGAACAAAACAGAGATTTATTAACTTTGATCGAAATATGATGGTTATAAATAAAATAGTATACAAACCTCGGTGGGAAGTTTTATTCCTGTCTCGAGATCATAGCTAACTTCACAACAGGAATGAAACTCTTCCCACTTCGGTGTGTAATATACTATTCCTACTTTTTTATCATGTCTCATAACTAAAGTATATTGCAAGACGCCATATCAACTGAAACCTTTATAAATTTAGACACTGCTGTAATCTAAAGAGTTCACAACAATTTTGTTTTTCGAGAATATATATAACTTTTTTCTGTGTAAAACCTGTTTCACGCAATACCAATAAAGAATAAAAATGTATTAAAGAAGGATAAAATACTTATAAAGTTGCGTATATGGTTTCTTTATAAATGTAGCGTCAAAGTGTTTACGGTTCCAAATTGATTGCAAATACAGTAACTATAAATTTGTCTTAAAAATACTATTTCAGTCTGCTTTATTAAACCCTTGTAAGTATCTACAAATAAGATTTATAATATTTTGCGGCACATTAAAAAACCATTTAGAAGGGAACTAAAAAACTTTTTTGATTTATAATTTGGTGCCAATTTAAGCTCATAAGAGTTGTGTAAAGCCTGTAAAAATATCTACAAGTAAAATCATAAATCTTATTATCTTATAAATATTTGCTATAAAAATATTCTTACAGATTTTATAAACCCGTTATATGCTACTTGGGATATATAGATCAGAATTGTAAAGTAAGTATAAAACAGGGCCGTATACTTTTTTGGATACCTCCAGCAATAATTGTGTGGAACGTCTAGTATTGATTAGGCTGTTTAACAAAGAATTACTGATCTTGCAAGTACTTTTAAGACTGTGGTAGAAGATATGATTTACTTACATATTGGGCACATTCCTCATGTTCTTGTGTCTGATGAAAATAGCTACCAGCGTTCCATTTCCAACGACACCAACTACAAATATAATTAGAAACAGTATCGGAACAAAGTAAGTCTCCGGCCTTTCTCTATAAGGGATAATTTCTTCGGTATAATTAGCACCGATAGATATGATAGTACCGTTGAAATTGAAACTCAAATTGGAAACCGCATTTGAGATGGTTGAGGAGACAAAACTATTATTCATTTCGTTGCCAAGTTGTTCGTTTTTCATTAGTATTAATTCTTCCTCGATTTAGATGTATTGGAGTTCATGATGTCATGTTGTCATGGTTTGTGGACCCTGGAACAAAGAAAAATCGTTTAGTAATCAAGATACTAATACAGGTTATGAAATCCGACAACCGGGGGTTGATAATTAATTTAAATAATTCTTATATATTACATATTATATCCAAATTTTTTATTTCGAATTCAAACAACATCCCAGCATCCCGCCTAGTAGGCGCCGTTTAATTACTTCTGGGAAAAGAAATATCTACCGGTAAACTCTAACGGTCGCTAGAACAAAACAGATGTAACCGATAGGGCTATATTCAGGAATTAATACAGGGCTCTATAGTCTTTATGCCCGAACACATAGTCGTTCTCTTTCCAATACATTGGCGTATATGGGAAATTTAAGTATAAATACCCGGGTTTTTGTGGGCTGGAAAAAACATTAACTTTTTCTTCTTCACCGAGTCAAGTTGACCAAAATACGCAAATATCCATGTCCCGCTACGGTGACTTCTTTTTCTTTATATTCTTCAAATATAATTAAAAAGAGATATCGCTACCCTTACGGTGGCAGCGCTTTTGTTATATTTTGAGAACGGAAATAAAAGATATCGACGGAGTAGAGAAATTAGTTTCTATAAACGACGGCGTCTGCATAGGTATCCAGTTGTCCTTAGGACGACCACCTTTTTCTTATATTTTATATATAAGTAAAAGGAGATATTAGTCAGGTTGACCAAGCAGATATACGTCGAGTAGAACCAGATTTCGCTCCTAGAACTGTTTTGTAAGGTTGTATCTAACGAGCGACTAAAATATTGGCGTAACGAATACTGTTGATACCTCACTAGTCTAGTTAAACGCCAGATATTTTATATCTCCGATTTAACATTATAAAATGTTACTAAATGATTAAAAGTGCTACTCTAGCGCGACGTTCGTAGTGGATTTCGTCACCCTTCTGGCTGACCCGACGAGCTTACGCCCGGTAGACCTTTTTGTCAGCGGTATACTTTTATTTCTGTAAGGTTTCTTTTACGTAGAATTAAAACGATAATCGCACTATTAAAGTAATCAAACTAGTAACTAATATTCAGATATTCCGGGGGAGAATTTAGACAAACATTAATAGGTCACATTCGCGTCTGTGTGTTATTGTCATATTTTTGGTATTCATTGGTCAACGTTTATTGTGGGAAAAATTATAGGGTTTTATATTCTGCTAAATTATGTTATTTAGAGAATCGATAGTGATGTTGTTGTCATAAATATTAATTGTTGTACAGTCGGTCAATGCTCTCCAGTAATAAATTAAGTCATTTAGATTTATGGCCAAAGGGCCGAATTGTAAAGTTTCGGTTGTCTGTAAGCAGTACCTGCCCCTCTCAGTAAAGATAAAAACACTTTCGGGTTTACTTTTAAATGGCAAACAGATGTAGATTAGTAGGGTAAATGCCTGGATTTGTATATATTTTAAAGTTAGTTTGCGGTTTAAAAAATATGTTTTCTGTCGTTCTTTGTAAACCAAAAGTGGATAGACAAATGTGTCATTTCAGCCGTACGGAATTTTAGTTTTGTGTATGGAATTTTCGGGAAAAATGAGATATGTACAGCGGCGGGTAGAATCATGAATATTGAGGGGGATCGTATTATTTGTACATATCCACATATCTTTAGCGGGACATTACGCGGAAAGTAGTCGGTATGTTTGTTATTTATTTAGAATAAATAGGTGAAATTGTGTTTGTGGACTAGCTAACGTATCCTCAGAACTGTGATTAATAACACTGATTTGTCAATCGACAGAGCAAAAGAGCATCGTGCCAAAAAAGACGCCTTAGGCCACCATAGACCGCCAGGGACCTCAATAGTAAGGGCCTAAAAATGGTATTTCCCTTGCGGCTATGTTAATTAAAGCCTGATAGAGGCTTGGATGGATCTCTACTGAGATACCCCAAAAGTGGGCCTGACGGGCATCCCCCTTTATATCAGGTGTTCTTCGATCGACCGTTTAGTGTTGTCCATACAGGACTGAGTATGTCGGTAAATTACGGCGATGGAATATTAGAGAAAGGCGCGACGCACAGTGAGGCAAATCTATACTCCGGTTTTTACACATATTAGAAATATTAAATTTAACCGACTTCAAAAAGGAAGAGGTTCTCAATTCAACACAATATGTAAGATCTCACAATACTCCTCGTGCTACCGTTGTACTCTCTTTTATTAGACAATGCGTAATTCAGTAGTTCCGTGGAAACGTGTGATTGTATATTAAGAGACAAACAAACATACCAAAGTACTTCCGACTTTTATTTTACCCTGTTATGGGAACTAAAAGCTCTGAGGTTAGAAATGACACATTAGAAAGCCTACATAAACATAATGTTAAGCCTAAAAATGGTACATAATCTAAATGTTCGGCTGTACAAAAGAATAGATGTTAAATAAACAGTATTCAAAATTAATCTCGGTGTTTCCTTTGTTCTTCCTCCATTACAGCTACATTGAACTCTAAACGTAATTCTGGGGGTTTTAGCATTACTTCGTGGGTATCCACTAGACGAAATTTAGGCCAAGGTTATAAGTATTTGCAAAACTAGGTGAGGGTCCGGTTTGTCAAGTTACAGTTATAAAATCGTCTACCATATTTTCTCAATTATTATTATAAAAACCGTAGAGATTATTCCTTTGGGTTATTCAACTGCTTAAAAATTTTCACAAACCAAAATAAAATTCTCAAAGAATTTCTTTTTCGTTTAGTAGGTATTATTAAAACAATGCATTGGAATTTTTTTCCTAAGTACGTAGAAAAAATCAATAATGGTATTTATTTATGTAATAAAATATTAACTCTTCAATATAATAATAATAATAATAATAATAATGTTATAAAAATAATAATAATCAGCGATCTAGTGAAATATTCGTCCTAAATATAAAACGACTTTAATTACAAAACCAATTTGATAAAAATTGGTTACGGTGAATTTTAACGAGATTTTTAAAAAATACTCTGTAGTAATATTCTGTGTCACTAAACCAAAACTTATAGAAAAATAACACATATCAGCGAAAACCGCACGTTTCTACGATTAGGCGCTTAAAAGTTATAAGCTCTGGAAATGGGCTACTTTTCATTGGGACACCCTGTATTTTGTAAAATACCATATACAAATTATACATTTTTGAAAAGTAGAAGAGTGTATCTTTCAGATGACCTAAACATATACAGGGTGTTCCATTTGATTGATTAAATTTAGTTATGGTGAATTTAAAAGAGGAGATTTTTATAAAACACCCTGTATAGGTGATACATAATTTCTGTGTCATTGAAACAAAACTTATAGCAAAATAACACATATCAGCAAAAACCGCACGTTTCTACGATTAGGTGTTTAAAAGTTATAAGCTCTGGAAATGGGCTACTTTTCATTGGGACACACTGTACTGTTAAATTCAGAAAATATACAGAGATAATAGTTTTATTGGCTGAATTGGCCATGTTCACATGTGAGATATACTGTTTTATAAATTATATTGTGATAGTTAGTCGCTATATAAGTTATTCTACATAATCAGTTTGTTAAAAAAGCCAAAAGTTTTTAAATTAAAACCAATTTAAATTTAAAATTTAAAATGTCTACGTCATCAGGAATAGACCAATCAGCTTGTGTCGAAGTTTTTTTTTTGTTATACAGAACCAAGCCAACGAACAAACCAACACACAGAATGTCGAAGTGAACACTTAAAATTGACACCACCTAACCTAACATTCGTTTTTTGTTTTGTATACTTTTTTCTCAATTATTGATTTATTTCGTCTGTCTTTGCTAATTGCTTTAATTTTATTATTAATATGAGTTTGTCAGCTGGATTTATAAAAGTTGATTTAAGTGTTTTACCCATTGTAAACCAAGATATGATTACCGAGATGATTACTGCACTTTTTAACAATATTCAATTTATAAAAGACAGAAAGGTATGTAAGACTCTAATTATAATTTGTTTTAATAGTAGTAACAGTTTATATGGAGCAATACACCTTATAGTATAAACATATTTATCTCAGGTCATTAGGGTTGTCGAACAGTAACAGTTTTTCAAAAATAAATATTTTACCTTTACCCTTTACTTTATTTATATTTATAAGAAAAATATATTTTAAAGCTATGCTGTGCTGTTGGTATTATTTCTATAATTAGAAGTAAAAGTATAATTATGTATTACCTGAGAAATAGCAAATTTGTTATTGTATAAAATGAGTTCATACAATTTGTCTACCTCGAAAATTAAAACTAAATAACATTTAAAACTATTTAGAACGGTAGTGCACATGTATTTACTGTAGTACTATTTTATTTGGTCGAGGATTACCTGCTTGTTGTATGTTTTGTAAGTAATTGTAATTACATTTTTACTTTTTGAAAATACTAAAAAAATCATCACATATTTTATTATTTTTAGATCTGCCAAGCAAGTATATGGAGATGCGATTTCCCATAAATAACTTGAGAAAAGGAGATATTTGCCCAGTAAACGGAATAATTGCACATGAACATAAAGTATTTTTCATTGTTTCTTTCACATTTGAAGTAAATAATGAAGTCGATAACAAGTTGAATTTGATAATGAATCTTTAGAGGACATTTTAATTTGACATCTCCATTATTGTTAGGGCTTGTGTATATATTTTTTATTATTTGTAAATAAAGTGTTTTTTACTTCGTTAATTTTATTCAGGTATTCTGTTAATGTACAATTATTATAATCTCTGAAATGTGATAAATTATTCAAAAAAAAAAAAAACCAACAGTTTATTAAATTATTTGTTATTTAGTCTTACAACATGAGTTCTTTTAAGTTAAAAATGCCACTCCGTATGCACCGTACACGTTTAATCCAGATCAAGGGTTTAATCGAGTCTAGTACCATAACTAAATATGGTACTAAACGCGATTAGACCCTTGATCTGGATTAAACGTGTACGGTGCA